ATAATAAATACTACTCCGTAGTACGGAGTACTTATAAAATAACATTTGTACTTACATTTATAAAAACACTTTTTTAAAAAGTGATATAACTTTTTCATTTCTACTCTAATTGTTATAGAAAATATATAAAAGTTCATAATTTTTACGGTCTTTCATATGACACCAATATTTGATATATAAATTTTAAAATTTCATATTGATGAAATTTCATATATTAAGAGCCTGTTTGGTACCACGAAAATCGGCTGATTTGGTCAATTCTGCTGAAATTTATGAAGTTCTGGCTGAAATGGCCGCATTGGTTGATTCTGCTGATTTAAGGGGGGAAAATTAAAATATATTTTATTAATAAAATAAAGAAAAAATATATGTAAAAATAGCTAAAATGCTCATCTACAGTAACTTCAGCCAATACAGCCGGAAAAGTAACTCCAACCTTACTTTTTCTGCTTATTATAACAATATATAACTCTCTCATGCTTAGTTTTTTACTCGTCCTCAAGTGAAGTCAATATTTCACCAACAATTTAAACAAACATGAACAAGCAAATGACAACCAAGTAGTAATGTTTAAAATGTGTTTTAGAATGTGAAATGATTCTACTTATCAATACACACTTCATGATCTTGGGTATACTTGTCTTATATGTTTCCCGTGTTCCACTTCCTCATTGTATCGCCAAATCCCTGTGTTGGCCCAAAATAGGACGTTCGTAGGCTTTTTGGAAAGCTACGTAAGACACTCAAGCAAGAATCAAGAAAGTAAGAACAAATATGGAAAGTGCTCAGGAGATTTAGTTGCCAAGAATAGCATTTCTCTCCAGTTTCCTTATTTCTTTGAGTGCTTTAGGGAATGGTGGGAGTGGTTTGTATGATGACAATGGTGGGAATTTGGCCTTTGTGGTCTTCCCTTCGGGTACATCTTCTTCATGGCCAACCTTCTTAAATCGTTGAGTTGTCTCTTCATCCTCCATTTGTATCTCTTTCGACATCGTTCCTCTTCTCAACTTGATTGCATTCACATATTGTCTCGGGTTTTGCTCCGTTTGAGATGGGAGTTTACCTGATCGAGTCTTTTGCCTCAAGTCGGCCCACGACATTCGAAATCTGGCTAACTTGAGTTTCCAAATTTTGAATGCTTGACTTTGTCTCATGTTGAAATTGTATCATGATTTGTTGAAAACTTGAAATTGTCTCATGTTTTGTTGCATGATAACCATGTCCGAGTTCAAAGTTCGGATCATGCATGTCATCAGTTGGAATACTAGATTGAGAAGGGTTTGGTTGTTGAGGACTTCCATATCTCAAATTTGGATGACTTCTCAATCCCGGATTGTAAGTATTTGAGAAATGATCGTACCTCTTTTGTTGACCTTGGAATCCCATAGCATTAGCTTGTTCGGATTCCTCTTGGAGTGTCGGGTAAGAATCAGTAGTGTGCTCGGTTGATGTGCAAATGTCATAGACCTTGACTTTGATTTTTGGGTTTTAGAAGGAGATCCTGCACTAAAAAAGTCAAGCCGACAACTTGGTTTTCCAAGGATGATGAATTGGATTTGGCTGCTAGAACCTTTCGAGTAGAGGATCTCTGGTTGTACTATCTCGAATTCTCGACCAACTCCGATATTAGACTCATTGCTTGTGAAAGTGTTTTGTTCACAATGCCACCTCTACATGCCGCATTCACCATGCGCCGATCATCATCAACAAGACCAACATAGGAGTATAAGATGAGGTCTTGCTCTGTATAGCTATGATAGGGGGCAGCTAGCACATATCTTTTTAAATTGTTCCCAAAATTTATACAAGGTTTCATCATCCTTTTGTTCAATGTTTCTTATTTGTTTATTTAGGTCTGAGGAGATAGAGGTGGGATAATACCTTTTGAGGAAGCACTTTTTCATGGCCGCCCAAGTATCGGGAGGAGAATAATCAATCCTTTGCAGTGTCCTTGAGGGAGAATGGAAAATCCCTCAATTTGATTTGTTCCTCCGTAATACCATTGGGGCACATGCTTGTGCACACAATATGGAATTCTAACAAGTGTTTTTGAAGGAAAAGGGTTGTATTTATAGCTTTTTGGAGGTGACAGAGTTGTGTACCCGATCGGGTATATAGGGTACCCGATCGGGTATTTTAGGAAGTTTCCCGGAAAGTCACTTTTCTGGACATACCCGGTCGGCATACCCGGTCGGGTATGAGCCAAATCATCAAAATCCTGCATGTTTTTTGGTCTCTCCAGATTATGGTTTTGACGCTCGAATCAATTCAATACCTGATCAGGTATTGCCTATACCCGAACGGGTATATGAAATATTTTTTTAATCTTCTTTTTATCTTGTCTCCTTGCACTTTCCTTGATATTTTGGGATCCAGTCCTGATCCTTTGAATGATCTTGACCTCTCTAAGCTCAGAATAATCCTAATCTAAACAATTTACAACTATCTAGAAAAATAAAGTAATTATACCAAAAGTGTGTAATTTTCACAACAACAAACAATTAAACTAATTAAAAATGCAACTATACATAATAAAAATATAACAATATCAGTATGAGAGAAAGTGAAAAAATATGAAAAAGAATATGAAAAGTAGAAAAAATAAAAAAAATTACTATGTAGCATTTTTAAATGAAAAACTTATAAAAAAGGGAAAATGTAGGAAATATAAAAATATAGAGAGTATGGATGTTTTCTTTTGACATTGTTTTCAGTCCCAGATCGGACCATACCAGACTTCCATAGTTATAAAATACATAGAGACCATAAAAATTTTCAGATCAAACCACTTCAAACTAGATCAGATCAGCAAATTTCAGTATAAGAGAAAACATCCTATACATTACTAGTAATAAAGTCATAAAAATGGATAAAGAATTTTAGATACTCTTCTAAAATTTCTTAGATTTAAATGAGAGAAGTAAAATAAAAATAGGGAAGATAAACTTGTACTCCCTCCGTCCCTAAAAGAACTTCCATGGTACAAATGGTGCGGGGATTAAGACAGTAGATATTTGGTGGAGAGTTGTGCAGAGGAGGGAGAAATGTGTAAGAATTGGAAGTTTATTTTGATACATCCAAAAAGAAAGTTGGAAGTATTTTAGGAACAGAGGAGTCCTACGTAAGTTCTAGCTGAGGACAAAAAAATAAAAAATAAAGAAAAGCGAAATAAGGAAGAAAGAGAGATGCAAGGAACGATGCTTTACTTCGTATACTCTGTAGTAGTACTAGGGGTGTTCGTCGGTTCGGTTTTGTCGGTTTCGGCTTTATTAGTTTGGTTTTAGTTGGTTTCGGTTTTTAGTCGATCGGTCGGTTTTGATCGGTTTTGGTTTTTAGTCGGTCGGTTTTAGCGACTTTAAAAATAGATGAAACCGAGAATCGGGCCGCAAAAATTGAGTCAATTTTGGTCAATTCGTATCGTTTTCTATCGATTTTAGCCATTTTTGCCGGGTTTTGCCGGTTTATTTTTGTCTGGCCGATTTTTTAAGCCAAAAGTACGAACCGTAAACCGAATAACCGATGAATTAGTCAGTTTCAGTCGGTTTCGGTTTTGATCAGTTTCGGTTTTGGTCGGTCGGTTTCAGTCGGTTTCAGTTTTTCAGTTTTTTGTTCACCCCTACTCTGTACTACTTCATGAAGTACTTATTGCGTAAGAGTAGTCATGGACCCGGGCCGGGCCCGGCCGGGCTTTTTTTTGGGAAGGAAGGCCCGGGACCGGCCCGGGTAGCCACCGGGTCCGGTCCGGGCCGTGCCGGGCCTCCGGTTCGGTCATAATTTTTTTTTTGCTTTCCTAACCCCCCCCACTCACCCCCCCCACCCCCAAACCCCTCCTAGCCATCAAGCCCAACCCGACTAACCCCAAAAAATGAAAAAAAAAATCAATTCGGCCCGGGCCCGGGCCCTACCCGGCCGGTTCGCCAAATACAAGGCCCGGGCCCGGACCCGCCCCCCCCCCACCGGGCCTAGGCCCGACCCGGACCCGAGAACTGGGCCGGTTCCGGGCCCGCACAGTGGCGGGCCGGGCGGCCCGAACCGGGTCCATGCCTACGTAAGACTGTAAGAGACACCAAATAAAAGAAAAAATGTACTCCGTACGTAGTAAACAAAATATGAGTAGTAGAAAACACAGGTCAAATACTCAAATCAATCATTCAACCAATGACCTACTATAGAAAGTTGACATCTGGTCACTTGACTCATTTGATCGTATTTCAAAAATAAGTGTATTAATCTCATACTCTTTCCGACTGTCCCACTAAGATTGTCTCATACCAAATTTGGTAAATTTTGTATAGTTCTAAATCATTTTTATTTTATTTCTACTTTATCAATTTAATATCAACCATACAAACCATTTTTTATTGGTTTGCGTGTGACGTCCTCTTGTCCCATTGTTAGTGGGACGGATGAAGTACTTTTTATAATAGAGAGGTTGTAGTAAAGGTTTTAAGTTTTAACAAAGTAGATGAGTGAATTTGACCATTTTTCAAGTACGGGGAATCAGTTTGGAAACCAATACCCAAACACTGGTTACACTGCCATATATTCCCTTCATTCCTTATAACTTTGCGAACTTTCTTTTTTTGAATGTGTCATTAACTTTGCTACTTTCCCTTTTAAACAAAAAATTTGTGGTTTCATTTAATTCTATCTTTTCTACACAAATCTCAACCACACAATTTTTACTTTATTAATCCTCGTGCCGGTCAAACTTGACAAACTTATTGGGAGGGAAAGGAGTAAAATATTGACTCAATTACGCGTAATATGACCCTAAATTTAAACGCGTTGACGAAGATTGCGGCTGGTCAATGGTGAAAATGGAGGAAGTAAGGGTCGTCCTTGTATACCAGACACGCGCGAGGCAGGGTTGAAGACATTCCTACATTGGAGGAAAATTCAGCAGGGGTATTGAAGACATTTAACATCTCTGTCAGTCCCACTTTAGTCCATTAAAAACGACTCACCCAGTCTCATTCCCGTCATATTTTCTATTGACGGCTCCATGAACATCCTTTGTGCTTTCTTCATTCTTCTGACGATCTTCAATGGTGTCAAAACTGCCCGCGATACATTATGTACTGAGGTCGGAAACTTCACAGCTAACAGTACCTACGCCGGGAACAGAGCCCTCCTCTTCTCTAAGCTGTCCTCCAACATCACCTCAAGCTACGGCTTATTCATCAACACCACAGTCGGCCGCGGCGCGGACAAAATCTATGGAATTGCCCTTTGCAGGGCGGATTCAACCTCTCAAGCTTGCACCAAATGCGTCAATACTGGAACTAAAAAACTCGCAGATGTTTGCCCAAATAAAATGGAAGCCATCGTTTGGGCAAGTGACGGCCCCGTTCCGTGTATCGTCCGGTACTCAAACCGTTCATTTTTCGGGGAATTGGAGTTTTCTCCTAACACCGTATTTCTTAGAAGGGATGAGTTCGAAGCGGATGAAGCTGAATTGGTTAAGAAGATTTGGGATCCTCACGTATCGAGCTTAATAGGGAATGCTTCTCGGGGGACGAAGATCAAGTATGCCTCCGGCCAAACGAATTTACAGAGCTTTGAGACAATATACGCGATTACGCAGTGCACTCCAGATCTGTCTCACTCTCATTGTGACTCTTGTTTGACGAGAATTGTGAGTGACTTTCAGAGCTGTTGCGGTAAATACAAAGGAGGAGCTTCCTACAATCCGAATTGTATGTTTCGTTGGGAGCTGTATCCCTTCTATGACCTTTCCTTTACTGTTACTGCTCCGGCGGCCCTGCTTTCTCCTCCTGCTGCCAATACAACGAATTTCAGTAGTATGAACTGGATGCCCTATCCTGTATAATTTTAAAATTTATTATGAACTTTAGTGTATACTATTCCATATTTCCATTCAAGCGATCCGATTTCTTTTGGATGTACAGATGGGAAGAGCAGATTTCGGGCTGTTTTGTATACTATGGTGCCAATTGCATTTGCGTTGTTATTGGTGCTTGTTGCTTTCGTCATTTTCAAGCAGAGGAAGCAAAATTCTGGTGAATTGGTTTCAGAGGAAAACGAGTATAATGGTGGGGGAGAGTGTCGGCAATTCAACCTTGCCACCATTAGAGCGGCGACTAACAACTTCTCCGATCACTACAAGCGTGGTCAAGGTGGGTTCGGCCCTGTTTATAAGGTAACTGTAATACTAACTTTTCACGTTTTTAAAGAAGAGAAAATTATTTTTCATGTGACTAAAACATCAATCATTTCCCAATGTATGACTCCTTGAGTTTTTTTCCAATACTAATACGTGCATGAGTATTAATAGGAAGTTTTTACTCTTCCTAAATAGTAGGAAATGGTATGGATGCACGGTTATATCCCTTTAAGAAGCATATTTAAAAGGAGTCATGTTTATATGGTAACCGTTTTTTTGTCATATTATGAGAAATCTCATTATTTAGTCATATTATGAGAAATCCTCTATGTTTTGGTAATATTACCATAATAATCCCATGTTTTAAAGTTAAACCTCTTTGAGTTTCCGATTAGATCAAACCAGAAGAGAGCACATTTGGACCGTTAATCATACCAGATATCGACATTTAATAGGCAAAAACCATATATTTACCAGTTCATATCAGATCAGACTAGAACACCAAATTCCAATCCAAGTAAAAACATCTTTAATTTACCCAATTATCTCTTGGTAAGATTGAATCGGTGGAATTAAAAAATTAGTAAAATTTTGGTGGCGGATTTTAATTAAAATATGGCTAATAGTTATGTACTATTGTATTATAGTCTTATAGTAATTTAAATATAAAAATTAAACATGAGTTAATATGTCTAAGTTAATATTATTATTTTTTTGCTCGAAGAGGGCTTAATTCATAGATATAGCATTCAGCAAGGGTACAAAAGTAGAAAAGAACCACATGTAACCATCCGCCCGTGGCCGAGACTGAGAAATAACCACCTGTAAAAAATCAGTATAACTCGCTAGACCAAAATTGGGCAACTTAAAACCAATGACGGTTACCGCATACTTTCCATCCCCCAAACCTAATGCAAGAGTCTTACAATGATTAAAAACACAAAAGAAAAACAGAACATAGCATTCGAAATAAAAACAAACAAAACAGACAAAAAAGATAACACCATCACTTGTCTTCTTGACCAACACCACCATATGGAAACTCGGCTGGTCTAAGAGACTTGACCCGCCACCTCCCCATTTTTTGGCCCATCCAGGGCCATTCCTTCACCAGCGGTACCCTCTTTGGTCTGATTATCCCATATCCTTCTGCGCTTTGTGTCTCCAGGAGTCTCTTCCTTGTCTTCTGTCTCGTGTTGTGATGGCCTGCTGGCCTTGGATTCAGCCGAAAACTCCCCCCCCCCCCCCCAAGATCAGCCTTCCACTGAACTCCCATATCCACCTGAGCTAGAAGCTCCATCAGATAACCACTTGTTCGGTCCTGTAGGGCTTGTCTTCACCCTTCCTCCTGCTCTAAGTTCCACCCCATAGGTTTTTTCAGCTACAAATCCCTCTTCATACTTCAATGGACAGAATTTATCGGAATGTCCGATTATACCACACATAAAACAAAAGCTGGGTAGTTTTTCATATTTTAAATACCACCCAATGCTTCACCCCATCTTTTGTCAAAGTGGTCCTTTTTTTCAGAGGCTGACGAACATCCAGACACACCCTTATACGCAGATAAGAACTTTGCTTTCCATCAAAATGGCTCATCTCAAATTTAATAAAGGAGCCTAAAAAATTATGGAGTACCAATTTTTTTGGCAGATCTCAAATTTCTAAACTTTATAGGGGCATTATGAACCTGTACCCAAAAACTAGCCTCAAATAAATTCATCGATTTAGGTATGTCATCTGGCTGAACTGCTTTTAACAGTATTAAATTACGCTAAAAAACTAAGGTCCATCCTCAATCACACGATTCATATCCAAAACATGATTAAAGTTTAGCAGATACCTTCGTTCGCCGATCTCTTTGATAGACATACCTCTCCCTGGTCTCCAGATTGAAGACATCAGCTCTTGGAACACCGGTAATTTGACCTTGCGGTCGGTGACAACTACCCCAACCACCGGAAAGCTCTTTGGTTCCAACTCCTCTTCGCCGCACTCCTCCACTTCCTCATTGAAATTAAGCTCGTTCTCCTGTTCCTCCATTGACATCTTCTTGTACGAGTTGACTATATCAGCCATGTAGCCAGATTTCCGATCGATCCCTCTGCTCTGACCTGGCGCCCTAAACTCGCTCTGCCTGCACCTTCTTCTCAGCGTAGAAACTACCGACCTTCGTTGAAGAACGAAATCGGAAAAAGACCCCTAGCGGCCGAGCCCTAGGGAGATCAAAAGTTTTAGAGAGAGATTCTCAAGCTCCAAGTGTATATAAGTATGGTTCAGTTATAATTAGAAAAGATAATACGTACGGAGTATTATGCTATGGGAAATTGGGAATTAAAGGGTCTTTGAAAATAAGGTCAAGGATCGACTAAGTTAATATTATAGTTAGTGCATTTAGGAAGACACATTTTTGCAAATCACATTTAATTTAGGAAAAAGTATAGAAAAGGTACATGTGGTTTAATTCGAGCCGTTTTCAGATAGGGGCATGTGTTTCATTTTTTAACGAAATGAGACATGCGTTTCAATTTCAATTATCACAACTGGGGCATGACATCTAACGCTAGAAAAAATAACTTCGATTTTCAAAAGTTTCCGAAAAATTAATAAGACCAAGTTAAAGTAACTCATTTATTAACAAATTAATTCATTAACAAATTATCGCTAGTATATATTTATATAAGTATATATTAGTGGCGCTACATTTGATCGGCTAAAAAGGTAGCGTATGGAAATTGGTTTGACGCTTGTAAATGGCGTAGAGCAACGTTATTGTTAGTTGTATTTGTTCATAAATATTGATTAAGCACTTCCCAAATTCTGAATAAATCCTGATTTCTTCTCCTATTGGTTATTGCGGATTGGCTAAACTTGTCTTTGAAAAATCGCCGAAAAATAGCTAGTGATCGATGGTAGTTTATGAGACGATCACTAATAGCTTGTAAGACGTCTTAGGGCTGTATCACTAATATTGTCAGATCACCTCACATCCACTAACATTAGGATGTTCCCATTTGAAAAGTAGGTAGATTAAGAATAGTGAAAGGGGATATGTATTATTAGGGATATAATGTGAGGAAGATAGTGAAATAATATGATGGAATGAAGGATAAATTCAAAAAAAGTAGGTGTAATAGTGTATTATTTTTAAAATTATTGAGGGTATGATGGGAAGATTTAGAAATGGGAACATATTAGTGTTACATCCTAAAAAGGAAAGTGAGAAGATATTTACGTTACGGAGTTAGTATTGTTTTGGCTAGTCTTTTTAAATTTGGTATGATGGTCTAATCCAATAAGATCTAATATCATTATATCATGTACTACGTATATCTTATTATGGTTTAAGTCTACTTTGATCTGATGACATTACATTTGTTTTTATTGGTTTAGCTTTGGTATTTGCTTCATTATAATTTAATAGGGAAATAAATCAAAGTCAAAAGATCTTTTACAATGTCCTCTCATTATTTGGCTCTGCATGATTTAGGGCGTGCTCTCAAATGGGGAGGTCATAGCAGTGAAGAGATTGTCCAAAAATTCAAACCAGGGAGAACTTGAATTTAAGAATGAGGTGGTTTGTGTCGCAAGACTACAACATCGAAACCTGGTCAGGCTTCTAGGCTTTTGCCTGGAAGGAAGAGAAAGGCTTCTCATTTATGAGTTCCTTCCCAACTCAAGTCTTGACCATGTGATATTTGGTAAGTATAGTTTTTTGAAACCTCTTGCTTAACTGATGGACAAAAATATTCATATGAATTTAAAACCTTAAAGGATTGGTTGACTGAGGATGATATTTTCATTTAATATGTGTGTAGATGCAAACAAGCGCATCAGGTTCGGTTGGGAAACTCGTCATAACATAATTGTGGGAATAGCAAGGGGACTTATTTATCTTCATGAAGATTCTCAACTTCGAATCGTCCATCGTGATCTCAAAGCCAGTAATATTCTTTTGGATGACAATATGAACCCTAAAATATCAGATTTTGGAATGGCAAGGTTATTGGAATCAGACGATCAAACAAGAGACGTCACTCACCGGATCGTCGGCACCTAGTAAGTTCAACAATCTCAACTTAATTTATCCTCTGCTTATGTGTTTCAATAAATTGTAGACCGCATTCACAAGAATTATTGCCCATTTCGTAACATGTTTTACAATTTTATCAGCCAGCTTTTATCATACACAAATACACACTTTTTTAAAAGTTCAAGTACGCATTTGATAAATAATGAAAAAATAAATTACTAAAATTAGAGGTGGTTTTTTTGGTGAGTATGCTGGATTGAATGACTAACAATTTTAATTGTTTCCATAAAATTATTCTCAACTTTATTAATCCTATCACTGTACTCCATATAAAATAGGGTTTTTGTCTTGAATATTACTAATAAAAGAGCAATAGGCAAAAAAGTGACCATTTTTAAAAATTCCTGAAATGTGACTAATAAGTGACAAGCTTGCTTATATACACACTGCTACAGTAACACGCTACAGTGACACGAGACACAGTGACATCCACCCTCCTTGTCGCCGGCCACCTCCCACCGGTGACCGCCGCCAGAGACCGTCGTTGGCCATAGTGACAACGACCATAGTGACACAATACTGACGTTGTCACTGCGTGCCTAGTGACACTGATTTTTCAATGACGCCACCCGCCAAAAGTTACTCCGACCGCTACCACCGCCCGTGTCACTGTAACCACCACTCGTGTCACTGTAGCCACCGCCCGTGTCACTGTGGTCACCGCCCCGTGTCACTGCGGCCACCGCCTGTGTCACTGCCGCCGGAAAACATGTCACTGTGATCATTTCCGGTCAACCAAATTGCCTTCGTCCGACCTATCAGCAGCCACCCTGACCCCACTCGCACTCAGCTCCGGCAACCACCTCCGTTAGTGACACCATAGCCGCCGCCAATGGCGGACCCACTAAGGGTCCCATGGGGTCCCGGGACCCCGTGGACTTCGAAAAATTTACCTATATGTATTACATATATTTTACAAAATTTATGTATATATATAAATAACATGTAATGCGACTAAGAAAGCAAACATATGCAGTGGAGTAATGGTAGCATGCGTACGGTTACAGGTCTTTTTTTGCGTGAGGTATTGGGTTCGACTCCCCCTCCTGTCAGTCTTTCTTTCTTGAACCTTATATTTTTTGAAACTCCAAATGATTTTCTTTGGGTCCATTCTTTAAGATTTTCTTTGAATGTTAAGATTAAATAAATAAATTTATGTATTTATGATTTTTCTTAAAATTTTAAGATGAAGGATGAAAATATATTTCAGTAGTGTATACAAATTTTAAAAAATCGGAGTACCGAAATTAGTTAAGATATTAATTCAAATGTTCATCTTTAGTAAATAAAGAATCGGATATAGTACTTGCTGAAAGAGAAACTAATTTGGCGGTTTGGCCTATAATCTACATGAACAACATAATGATTTCATCCTAATGTTCAAGAGAGTGTACGCCGTAGTTATTGTCAAAAAAGGGTCGTTTCAACTTCGGGATCATGATTTCCCTATTAATGTAATTGACGGCAAAAAAACGTAGATTTGTTTCAAATTGATTTGATGACCATAAATGGTTGGAATACAGTATTGCCAAAGATGCGGCATTTTGTTTAGCGTGTTATTTGTTTAGTAATGAGTGAAAAGTAAGTGGTAATCATTTTTTGGGAATAAGATTTTTAGCATGAATAAAAAAGATAGGTTTTACATCGCAAAAAAAGATAGATTTTATGTACATGTTGGTGGACCTATATATTATAGAATACTTCCAACAAATGAAACCTAGGAGGTACTTTTGTAGACTTGAGAATGACTTTTATATGTAATTTTTTGTTTTATATCATCTTAATGTTTTGCCGATGTACGTTAACCATGAAACATTATGCTTATTAATTTTTTTTAATTTTATATTAATGAGAGTTCCATTAGTTTAGGGACCCCGTGACTCTGATTTTCTGAGTCCGCCACGCCCGCCGCCCCTAACCGTGGCCACATCAGCCCCTCCCCCACCCACTAGCCCCCTCTCGATCCCATCCCCCACCCACCATCCCCTCTCCAGCCCCTCCCCCCACCCACCAGCCCCTCCCCAACCAAACCAGCCCCCTCCCCAACCAACCCGCCCCCCTCCCCAACCAACCAGCCCCCCTAACCAGCCCATCAGCCCCCATCCCCATCCCCTGCCCCCACCCAAACGTCCAGCACAGGAAAACCGATATCCCCCCCCTCCCAAACGTCCAACACCAGAAAACCAAGCTCCATTGACAATCCAACAAATCTGGTACCGACAATTCACACAGCGGCGGCGGCACCACAAAGCCCTGCCGCACGCCTCAACCCCAAGTCCCCTGCCCCAACCCCTTAATCCATAGTGACCTCCATCATCCTCTGACCTTCAACCACCGCCGTTACCAATCCCGATGACCACCACCTTTACTCATTCAATTTAACTTTTCCCATCTCCTTCTCAATCACACATCCCAACTGCCTCACCTCTCATCTCCGCAATTCACCACTACCTCCTCTTTAACATTAACTTCCTCACCCACAATCTATCTTTTCAGCTTCCAAATACCTTAATGAGCCTATCCTTCCTTTTTTCTCTGAATATTCTACCTCGTCACCATCAACATTGACAGCAGACTTCATACTACGTGAGTCTGATTTCTGATCAATCAAGTCCTCAGTCACACAATCCAACTCCCCCACTGTCTCATCTCCGGAATTCACCACTATCTCCTCCTTAAATTTAACTTCCTCAATATCATACGTATATCTTTTCAGCTTCCAAATAGAAGTCATGAACATCATCCGTCGTTGGGAGAACGATGAAGAAGCAATGGAGATCCAGATCTGGAACCTCATCGCAGATTCGAAAGGTGGAGATGAAGAAAGGAGAAGAAGAAGATTTAGACGGCGGCGGTGGCGATGCAATTGGCACACGGTGGCGATGGGAGAAGATGGAGATGACGGAGAGTTTGCTGGGAGAAGAGCAGAGATTTGTTGATTATCGGCTATGAGCGAACGTAGATGGAGAATTTTGTCGAAGCTTGGAGATGACGGGCCTTTAATGTTTGACTCACGCTTCTTTGTTTTAAATGGTCAGTTTTGTGTCCAAGTTTAAAATGGTCACATTTTTATCTATCAAAAGTCCATAGGTTATATTTTAGTCATTCTTTCTATAAAATAGTGCAACGTATGGACCATACCTTGTGGCTATTTATCTTTTTATTCTATTTATTATATTTAGTTTGAATTTAACTTTTTCATAATTATTGTGTAAATTGAATAAATCAACCCTACAACTTCAATAATTTTAGAAAATAAGTTGATTCAACAAATATTAATGTTACTAAAAAGATCTTAGTAAAGCTTATTTCGTTTAGCTTAATTGCGAACAAAATAATCGGTGAAGGAACTCAACATACTTCGCTAAAGCAATTTACCAAACATTTTTAATTTGATTAACTTTAATTGAGTTTTTTTAACTACACATACATCTTATTAAGTTATTATATGGTCAACACCATACTTACGTGGTCTAGATCATACTCTAGTGTGCTACTATAGCTTTTCTCAATATTTGATTTTTAATGCATGAATGAATCATAAAATGCAGTGGGTATATGGCTCCGGAATATGTTATGCACGGTCAATTCTCAAGTAAATCTGATGTTTATAGCTTCGGCGTGTTATTGCTTGAAATAATCACTGGTGAAAAGATTAAGAGCTTTCGTGGAGGGAAAGATGATCAAAGTCTTGTTGACTATGTAAGCTATGCACAAAATTATGTGTTTTACTTTTCAATCTATTGTGTAAGTTAACTACACGCACACATGCTTGCGCCTGCAGACGCACATGCGCCGACGCACACGCGCGCACACCCTCGCACACACGCACGCACACGTGCACACACGCACGCACGCACACGTGCACACACACGCACGCGCACACGCCCACGTATACGCGCGCGCACACACACAAATACACACACAAATACATACACAAAATTAAACACACACACACATATATTATACACACATACTAGGGCTGGGACTTGGAACCGAAAACCGGGAAAACCGATCTAAACCGAACCGGAAAAAACCGAAATTTCCGGTTCGGTTCCTATAATTTTGGACTTCAGTTTTTTTCGGTTCGGTTCCTGTAGTCTTTCATCGGTTCGGTTCCAGTTCGGTTCCGGTTCCTGGCTAGGAACCGAACTTCTCATACATTGTATGAGCAATCTTCATTTGAGGTACTTCTGGGTAGAATTTTTTGATGAAATTTTGTGAGGTTGTTTTCTATTAAATAATGATTATGTCCACCAAATTTGAGCTTAAAATGCAATCGGGAAGTTAGTTCAATAAATTATTGAAAAACACTACGCCAAAATATATAAAAAACGCAATGTTTTTCAATATTTTATTTAACTCACTTCCCGATTGAATTTTAAGCTAAAATTTGGTATATGTAATCTACATTTCATGTAGAACATGCTCACAAAACGTTATCAAAAAATTCTTCACGGAAGCAACTCAAATGGAGGTGGCCAAACGGCGTTCCGGGCAAAAAGTTCTTGTCAAGAATATTTTTCTTGCATATTATACCTTATATATTGTGGATCAGGCCAATCTGAGTAGTTATCATTTTAATACATTAGTCCCTTTTTATATTTATTGTTTGTTTGTAATTGCATTTGTTATTGGAGTTCACCTAAAAAAAGAATTAACATTCTTTTGATTACGTTATTTGTTACTACGTAGTTTTTACTTATTGTGCATTACTAGTAGAAGAATATTATTTTGGGGTTGAACTACCTGCTATTGGATGTATACTTTGGAGCTATTGAACCTTTTTGCTTGACCGTTGATGCTTATTTTAAATTGAGATTTTTGTTATGTTTAAATTTAATGTTGCACTTAGATATTTTTTTGGATATTTGAAAATTGAGATACCATGCGTGTATAATGTAATGGTCATAATTTCATAATTTAAAATTTGATTTTTTTATGTAACTTAAGGTAAAAAGTGTGTTCATTATAGGAGTATAATAAATTTTTGTTAGGAACCGAAAAAAGGTAAGAACCGAACCGAATTTAACTAGAACCAAACCGAATTTAAAAACTACATTTTTAACTAGAACCGAACCGAATTTAATGCCTACGATTTTTATACGGTTCCATCGAATTTTAACAAGAACCGAACCGATCCCAGGCCTAACACATACATAAGTGAATAATGAAATTTCAAATAATGTACTTTGCAGGCATGGAACATGTGGAATAAAGGGACACCGTTGGATCTTATTGATTCGACTATGCCATCGTTTAGTACCTTCACAAGCGATATCATAAGTTGTATTCATATTGCTTTACTATGTGTGCAAGAAAATGTGGAAAGTAGACCAACCATGGCTTCAGTGGTTCTAATGCTTAGTAGCAGATCGGTTATTATGTCAAGACCGTCAAGACCCGCATACATTTTTCACTCCATGACGCAACAACATACATCATCATCGTCATCATCGTCAAGTGCCCACAATAACTCACACTCTACCTCAAGTAGAAGTAGTAACCATGTTGAAAGAAGTTCTCGGAATGAAGTTTCTATATCAGAGCTTGAACCTCGATAACCCTACACATCTCTCATTTTGTATAATTTAAATAGAAAAAAGATTAAAGGTTCTTAAAGACGTGAAAAATGATAATGTAATCATGTCGACTTTAAGCTTTTAGGTGGGAGGGGGGCAGGGTATAGTGTTGTATTATTATGATTAGTTTTATTATTTTGCAGTAATCCTTAACTGAAATAAATAAATATTCAATTATTATTGTAACACGTTTTCACGTTTTCTTGTTGAGAGTAACTCTAGGAATGTAGGATCAAAGCTAACAATAGCGAATTCCTAATATTAACGCAGAGCCGGCTTTAGAGGAGCGGCGAAGGTAAACCCTAGCCGCCGCCTCTTCCTTCATTCTTTTCTTCTCTTCTTTTGATTTTAATCGTGAAAAAAGTCTCGTTTAATCGGTATTTTGAGTTCTATCTATACGTTTATTTCCTAGCGTTGTTTAGAGATATTATTTTCGGTGGCGAAGTGTCACTCACCAGATCTATATTCCCCGCCATCATCGGTCGGGTGTTCTTGTGTGCTAGTAAGAGGTTTGTATTTGCTTCTTTATCAATCATGAATCAGGATTTCTTCTGCATCGATATAGAGGCTGATCGCCCCCCTCCTGAACCACCGCCTATCCAGGAACATGACATTGGATGGATTGCTTTCTTTCCGGTGGCTGGTCAAACCAGAACAATTTTTGCACTTGGCTGCTTACCGGTGGCTGGAAAAACCGGCAAGTTCAATAATTCCTTTTCGGTGGCTAATCAAGCCGAACCCATTTCGAGTAGCATAAGCAGACACACTGCGGTACGAGTCTACATTGTTGCAGGGTTAGCGAACATGAATGCTTTTATATGGCGTTTTTGTTCTTTGTCTCAACCTAATGTAGTATTGAACGCTATGATTGTAATGCTTCGGCTTTTAGTGGTTATGTTTCTTGTTAAGATCTGATTATCAATAAAATGGTTATTTGATTTTCAAAAAAAAACAAAATGCAGAGCCGGCTTTAGGGGGAGTGGGCCTAGACAATTTCTTAGGGCCCCATTTTTGAGAGGTGCCTCATTTTTTTATTTATGTATTTGTTAAATAATAAAAATGTCAAGTATATATCACTAGTAAAAAAATGGCTTATAGTGACATGAAATTAGTGTCACTAAACGATTTAATGACACACTAAAAGTGTCACAGAAAAGCGGGGCAAGTGACACAAAATTTAGTGTCACCGTTAACAAATCACTTTTGTGTCACAAAATTATGACATATAAACATCATAGCGAACAGTGATACATTTGCGTAGGTATTCTTAATGACTCCTAGACATCATCTGAACTAGTGATACATTAATATCAAAAAATGTTTTGACACGTTGGTATCATACATATTTATGACCCATTGGTATCATGTGTGTGTATATCCATAATAATAAAATCATATTGATATTTACTAACAATATTATAATATCTCATATTAGTAAAATCATATTGATATTTATACATAAACAAAATATTAAACAACCATATTCATTTAATAACTCAAATTGTAAGATTCACACATATTCTATTACAACACAAATATTTTATCCAATTGAAAATTTTACACATCAAATCGGCACAACTAAAAAACTAATACTTCTACATATTAAAGAACATGTTGATATTGATATTGTGTAACACTTGAGATTTAATATAAACGGATTAATAGTACTACTCATACCAACAGAGGTGCATCTCCTTTTAAGGGAGCTCATCACCCAAGAACTCCAAAGTTAAGCGTGCTTGCACGGGAGTAGTCTTGGGATGGGTGACCCCCTGGGAAGTTTCTCAAGGCGCGCACGAGTGAGGACAAAGTGCGCGGTAAAGGCTCGTGGTGGTTTGTGGGGACAGTACTATTGGTCTGGAGTAACTATCTCGGGTCCGGTGGGGCCGGGGTGTTACAATTGGTATCAGAGCAACCCTGCGACAGTGTGCTGATCCGTTGGGTATCGGGCAGACACTTAGCAGGGGAAAAAGATTCTGGGATTTGATTGAGATTGGTTTATGGGCGCAACGAGGACGTTGCGATCCTAAGTGGGGGTGATTGTAACTCTTGAGATTTAATATAAACGGATTAATAGTACTACTCATACCAACAGAGGTGCATCTCCTTTTAAGGGAGCTCATCACCCAAGAACTCCAAAGTTAAGCGTGCTTGCACGGGAGTAGTTTTGGGATGGGTGACCCCCTGGGAAGTTTCTCAGGGCGCGCACGAGTGAGGACAAAGTGCGCGGTAAAGGCTCGTGGTGGTTTGTGGGGACAGTACTATTGGTCCGGAGTAACTACCTCGGGTCCGGTGGGGCCGGGGTGTTACACTCTTGGCTCACATGCACAAAAAACTCCAAGAAAAACAAAAGGGGGAGGTCCACCCCATATTTGATTGCAAACCAAATATCTCCCATGCTCTTTTGTGAGCCACATGCTCTCTTAGAATGTTTAAGGTCTCCTATACACTCCCCCCTACACCCCATTCGAACCCCAAAGAGATAAGAGAGCAAAACGCATCCACACAACCCAAGAGAGAAGGAAGGAAGAGAGCAGTCCGCAGGTTCGTTCTTCAGTGCGTAGTGCTGATTGTTTGAGCCATAACTTGAGATTGACTCGTCCAATTAAGTCTTATAAGATACCAAAAGAAAGCTCTCAAGACTAGGAATCCGTGAAGGTCTGGTTTGCATCAATCGGAGTAGTGAAAGGCTTCCAAATCGTCCGAGCAAAACACAACCTTGCAGGAACGGATTTACTCTCCTAAAGTGAGTATTCACCCCAAACCTTTACTTTTCATTTTCCAAATGATATGAACGATTGGTGGAACTATTATACACTACCCAAAGTGTATAATATGTCTTCATAAGGTTATTTTATTGATGTAAAGGTTAGATACTAACCTAGAGCAAATATTGGAAAACTAGGAAACGAGTTAACCGGAAAACACCCATTCTAGGGGCCGTTTTCGTATCAACGATTAGGGGTTGAACTAGCACTTTGAGGAGGCTGTTTAACACTCAATTCCAAGCAAGGAATCAGTTCTCAAACCTTCTTGGCCGAGGCTTTGGTCATTGGAGCGAGAAGGAAGGTTTTAAAGCTCATTTGAGGTGAGGATCGACATCTAGTTGCTTACAACTTGTAGGTTAAGCATGAGATTATCTAAATGGCTAAATCATGTTTTCCATGGATTATGATGATAAATTATTGATGAAATATTGATCTATTTTCCAAAGAATGAAATGGGAAATGATTTGGTAAAGTATTGATAAAAATGGAGTTAAATGAACTATTGTGTGAAATAAGCATTTTACTCGTGTGTGAATTGTGTAGATACATAAATGATTATTTATGTATTACATTGGAAGATTAAGTTGCTGCTACATATCTCTAAATATGTAGGGTTTTACAAATGGAATATATGATGGATAAGATTAATCTTAATAGTATTGAAATACTAGTTAATGATTGTTGTAATTGATAAGGAATTGAATCTAAGGGTTTGATTGTAATTGATGTACTTGATTGTGATGCAAGTGACTAAATTGATGTAATGTGATGCTAAGATCATGGTTGGGCAGTCCGTAAGGATGTCCCAAAATAGATTATAGATATTACAAATTCTAGGCATAACGAGTGCTTAGGAATTGGGGTCTATGCCAATGTAAGGAGATGTACTTGAGCCCGTGCTCATAGAATTGCATTGGGTAGACATGATGTGGTGATTGATGTGCATGGTGATGTAGTTGAGTTGGACTCAAGAAATGCACGGTGGAGTAATTAACTTGTTTTAAATAAGGTGCATGGTGATGTAGTCGAGTTGGACTCGAGAAATGCAACCATATGTGTTAGGGTTGAACCTTATGTTTTGTTGTGACTAGGGGTCACGGGGTTTGGGCTATGTTTGGTAAACAAACCTTGGGCCTACGGGCCGACTACTTGACTTTATATATAAAGTAAGTATATTTTGAAAAGGGGTAACTGTGGGTTACGGCCTAGATTATATTATCACCCTATTTGAGGGTCTTGTGTTTGAAATACTTGTTGTATATCTATTAGATGCCATCCACACCAGCACTTTATAGCCCTATAGAGTGTTGACCCCTTCGGGGGCATCCCACTACCATTTTTCAGGTTGAGGCTAGAGCTTGCTTCCTGTGCTCGTTGCTCGAGAGATTATCTAGGAGGGAAGACTTGGTTCGTGCTCCCTCCATTCTGTTTTTAAACATTAATAAACATGCTCATGAATATTTTACTATAGAGCCTGCGTGCTCATGTTTGCCACGTGTGGCACTTGTTTTCAAACTATGTTTTCCGCTACATATTCGATTGCTTATTATGTTGTTTATGGATGGCTTATGGGTGAATGATATTCGCGATGCCTTGTATAATATGAATGTGCTTGATTGTGGTTGACTATTCATATTGTACGGCGGGTTGTTGACATGTCCGGGTAGGTCCGGGGCGTGACAAAATAAGTCTCCCGAGAAGACGACGATACAGCTCCGGATCTGAAAGAGGGGGTCCTTGAACTTTAGCAAGTGAATGATTTTGGTCAATCGGAAAATCTGATGGTTTAGCTCCCAGAAGTCCTGTTTCAGATAAAATATCCAAGGTGTATTTACGTTGTGTGAGAAAAAGACCCGAGGGACTGCGGGCGACTTCGATGCCAAGGAAATACCGGAGTGGTCCCAGATCTTTCATGTGAAAACAGTCGCTGAGATATGATTTAAAATGAATAATAGCATCATGATCATTGCCTGAGATAACCAGATCATCCACATAAACCAGGACATTCAGCTGAGTAGATCCCCGAGTACGTGTGAACAAAGAATAATCCGCATAGGATTGAAGAAAGCCATATCCTTTAAGAGCTCCAACTAATTTAACAAACCAGCAACGAGGAGCCTGTTTCAAGCCATAAAGAGATTTGTGCAGCCGACATACAAGAGAAGAATCAGATGCAGCATAGCCCGGCGGAACCTGCATGTAAACTTCTTCATCCAAATCACCATGCAAGAATGCATTATGAACATCCATTTGATGGAGTTCCCAATTTTTGGAAGCTGCAACAGCCAAGAATGCACGAACTGTGACCA